TAATTCGAGTTTTAAATTTTACCAATCTAATTTATACCTGAGGACGGTTAAATATAACCGAAACATGTCGTAAGAGACGTTAAATTTTGTAAATCGATCATTCGATGCGGAACGTGAAATGATATTTTAAATATTTTATATTTTATTATCTTATTAAAATTGTGATTTGACGGAAAATATTAAAATATTGTATATTAAATCATTTTTATATCCGACGTCATAATTATTACATAATCTGTGTCTTCTTACAACTTTTCAAATATATATCAACCATACCCCTTCTTGCCCCGGGCACGGGTCTAATTGGGGCAAGTTACAATTTTGTAAAGAAATTAATATTTAAAAAACCGTAACACTTACAACTGAACTAGTAGCTCAACATAAATTTCAAATAGACAATAAATCCACACAAGGTCCCACCATGTGTTTGTCTATGTTGTTGTCCCTTCCACATTCCTCGAAATATTGAGTTCCACGTTCTGTCCTGGTCTCCCCTACTTATTTGATATAGCTAAACTCATATTCCGTTACAGTGAATTCAGGTTAATTGGGACACATGGGGACTAGAACACATTGGCCCAATTAAGCCGCTGCCCCAATTATGCAAAGTTCCACGTAGAGTTAAAAGGGTTTAAAACAAAAGACAAACTCCCGTTTATTGAGATGATTTATTGAGCAACAAAAATATTGTGAATGAATTATGGAATAAATAGTACAGATCAGAGAAAAATATTTACGCTAAAATCAATGTCAATTTAATGTATGCATCAAACGCATGTAGGGGAGTTCAGGGCAGAACGGGGAACTTAATCTTTGGAGGCATGTGGAAGGGACAATAATAAAGATAAACCCATGGAGGAACCTTGTAGTTGTAAGAGTTACAGTTTTTTAAAATATTAATTTATTTACAAAAATTTAACTCGCCCCATTTTGCCCCGTGCCAGCGACAAGACGGGTTATGGTTGATATATGTTTGAAAAAGTTGTAAGAAGACACACATTATCTGATAAACATGACGTAGGATATAGAAATGTTAAAATAAACAATGTAACGTGTCGATACTTTACAAACTTAAAATCTACTTCGGCCTAACTCAGACTTCATACATGTGCACCTCTTCATCAGCGTGATTACCAACACCTGCACATGAGTTATGGGCCCATTTCAAGCAAGACGAACACCGGATCCATTCTTCAATAGACTGCAAATGGACATCGCCACAATACAGGCACTCATCGTCTTGATCCTCTTCTCTACTTTCACGCGGGGCAAAACTGGGTACCTCATCCTGCCCCGAGTATACTCTTTCAAATTAGGATTGTTCCACCAAAAATAACATCATGAAAATAAAAATAATATGTTGTGTCTTGTGTTTAAGACTTTCAAGAAAACGCCTTGTAACATGCATCATTCAACAAAGTGGATATGAATAATGAATAGGTTTTATCTTCAATGGAATTTGAGGAAAATTTCTAAAATGTAGGAGCAAAATCCAACATGGGTGATTATTTCAGAAACTGTAACCACAAAATGGCGCTGACTGACGTGGCATGACCCTGTGCTGTATGCCAATGGTATTTCACCCGGTCCCGATAGATCGCAACGCATTGCAGACGAAATATAGCCGATAACCCGTTCTGCCTCGTGGCCCCGTCCTGCCCTATGTTGTTCTCAGCAGTTAATGATGTTGGAGGAATTTATCGAGTGTACCCTGCCGTGTTCTCTTGTTTGACTCCGGCTGAACAAAATACACGGAGATATCTAGTACAGACATAGAACAGCCTTCATTGCCTTCCTGCATGAAGTAGCGTCGTAATCCAGCAAGAAATTTCCTGGCATCCTGGTTAGTCACTCGCTCAAGCTCAGGTGTGTCGTCCTCATCACTTTTCTGGTCTTCTGGTGTCTTTTCGTGTTTTGCTGCAATTTGTTCAACAATTGCGTTCTCATAATCTTCATTTCCATTTTAACGTTGAAGACTACTGTCAATGCATACGAACTCTTCATAATTTCTGACGTATTGCTCTAATCTGGCATCTCGAAGCCTGAATGCTTAAAATCACAGTAAGCAAAGCAGTTCTGAGTAGTCTTGCTGCTTATTGCTCGCAAGCAGAATCGATACAATGTCTAAATATAGCCATGTGTTCATTACTGAGTGAATCACCGATGACTCACTGACTCCTCCACGCCACATGCCACAAGCGCGCCATCTAGCCCTCACTGTCCCGATTAAACGGCATGGTGTCCCAAATTAGCGAAGCAAATTCCGGTTATTTTCTAGATTTGTTTTTGTTCTTTAAGATGTGTCCCAAATAAACGACTGCCCTGATTAACCGATGGCCGAATTAGCCGGAATCTACTGTGTTTTAATTAAGCCGAAATAACATTTTTCAATATTGATACGTATGAATATGTTGATTTGTGTGTGTGTTTGTAAACGGAAGTTTGTTACTGGAAGACTCCATGTTATTCTTCGGAAACTGTTCTGTTGTGGATATTAGATTATTCTTATACCTACGTCGAGTACTCTATTATAAAGTGAACCTTGTTACAGCGATTAGTACTACTTTACAGATTTAACGGGATGTATTTCCAGTAATATCAGTGATTTAATGGCTGGGCCATTGTAGTCGCTGATTATATTTTTGTGTTTGCATTGTTGTTTCACTAACGTATTGTCAAGTATCATAAGGGAATCGTATACCTTATCTTGCCCAGTTGCAATGAATAATTTAACTTAAATTTTATAATTAGTTTATAATTTAAATTGTAAATTAAAGTAACATATGCTATAAATTTGCAGTAATGTTTAAGTTAGCAAATTAGCAAATGTATCTTTAGTGAATATTACTATATTTGAGTGTGCCAAAATCATGCATTCTGCTGAAACGCATTCTCTTAAATTTGCATTTTACATAATATTTGTTTAATTGAGAGGTAGAATCGAAAGTTTTTCTTCTGTTTTCAGATTGCGATGCTTGCTAAGACAATTACAGAGGGGGGAGATATCAGCTGAATTACTTCAGAAAAATCTTCATTACGCCGCCAGAGTTTTAGAAGCCGTCTTTATCGACGAAACCAAGTAAGTACACCGACAATTTAGCATGATAATGTGAAAATACGATACGCAACTTTTGTGTGTTTGGACTACGTTCATTCCATGTTTGTGCCAGAAAGTCATGTTTCATGCTTCCTACAGAGAAGCATTTCTCTCAGCACTTTAGCAGAACTTAATAGTTTTAATTTTCGATCTCTTGTTAATCAATAGAAGAGGTACAATAATTCTTAGAAATTACGCGTGTACAAATCCATATTCAGACATCAAGCAGACCTACGGCTTGTATTTCTTATCATATCACAGTTATTTTATTACACGTATAAAGATACATGTTATATGGAAGATGAGCGCTGCATGTATATACTGCAGAAGGTTTTTATTTGTTTTATGTTTACAATTTTGTCCCACGGCAATTAGCATTCCTACTATACGTACTGCGGAAAAGTGAAATATGGTACAAACAAACTTCAGACATATTACTATGTTTCATTCACTTGTAGTTTAGGTTATCTTTGCAGATAAAGTTTGCATGACTTCCAGAATAAATTTAACTAAAATTTAAATTCTGTGTAAATGTATAGGTTCAGCTTGTAGATCGTAGATTGTATTTCAGCCCTTTGTTGTGGGTAAGTAACTTTTCGCTTACTTGAAAATAAAGAATTAATCACAAGAAGTAAATAACTCACCAAATTAAAACTTTATGTATTGTAAATTTTTGTGTGACGCCTGAGAATTACTATTGAATTTAAGCATTTATGTCTGTATTAAATCTTAAACTCTTGAGACACATTTTATATCTGTACATTTACGGATATATTTCCAGTGAAATAAACACTCTAAATTGAGAATATCGTACATTACATGAACCGACGGCTAGACTTATCCGACAGCTACACGAATCTCACGTAGGTTAAATGTAGCATGTTTCAGCCTCATTAGGTATTTTATCCTTATCTTTGAAATCGCAAATGCGAATGCTCTACTTGAATCTGGAAGTGTACACTTGTGTTTATTGTTGTTTTAAGTCACATGATTCTAAAACTCACTGTTCTGTCACTCCTTGCAGCCATAGGGGACTCCACGCAGAAGCACTGCTTCCACTGTATGTACATTGCTTGCTTTTCACTTGTGTTTTAACCCAGAACCTGGTATGGAAGAAGCTTGTTCAAGTACATGGAATTGTATTTCACTAAGTACAATTGCATTTCTTTTCTAGAACCTGCATCGGTGATCGGATATGGTCCAGATCATCATCTATTTAAGCTTTTTAAAAGCCAACTTAGGTATCTTCCTCTTATTACCACAGTGTGAGAACATTTGTCCGTACAACAAGCAATTACTCACACGCTAAATAATTTTGATATCACGTAGTAACCAGGTTTATCCTGCTTATCTAACCGTGATAGAATCAAACATGCGTTCTCATAGATTTAATTTCTGCATTTACGAATTCAAGTATTTGTATTATTTTGATGAGGCATAAAATTATCATTATTCTTTCATCTGTAGGATATTTTGGGCTGTGTTGGGTATTGTGTCATGAGAGAGTTAATCTGAGACTATTACTGAATACAACTACAGTGTATTCACAATCTGCTTTTGTCAAGTGAAATATTAAATTTGTTATTCCTCTTTGGATCTTTTACCCTAAGCGAAGAACGTACACTGAAGCTAAATATGAACAGATTTCTGAGGAAAATATTAGCATCTAAGAGAGAGGAAGTAGCAGGAGGGTAGAGAAAATTACAACATGAGCACCAACAAAACTTCTGTCCTTCCCCAAATATTAAAAAAATTATTAATTGTTAGTGTTACCAAATCCATGATAACGAAATAGGCGAAACATGTAGCATACACTGATAAATGAGGTGTGTAATTCTAAATAGTTTTAATCGTACACGCTGGCCGGGAGAGATTACTTGGGAGACAAAGTCGCCGATGGCAGCATAATATTAAATTTGCTGTCCATAACACGAAAAAGAATCATCCAGGGAGCCATGTTTACACAACACATTTTTCGTTTCTGTTATGCACAGAACGCGTATCTGAAGAGGTGCCGGAAACACACACTTTCGACCCAGCCTACTTAAGCAGAATATCTAAGCATCAAATGTAATTCTCTTAAAAACAAACGAAATTCTATGGAGTGCGACTATTTGATAATTTGGGAATGTAGAATTGTTACGGTATTAGATGAACAACGTTTTATTTATTTCCTTACGTGATAAATTTTAGAAATATCTTTATAATGTAAGCAATTCTACGTACTTTCGTTCAACTCCTCTTATCCAGTTTCCTTATTTTTATTAACTATAAATGTTTACTTTGTAGCGAATATCTGTTTCGGATACATTTTTAAACTTCATCTATATGTAAATATGCATAGCATAATATGTTTCTTCAGTAAAGAATAATATCTGTTGAAAATTACTTATAGGCCGATCCATCGGGTCTAGACCTTCAAAGTGATTTGTAAGTAAAGTCCTGCGTATTTTACACAGAGGAGCACATTTACAGAATTATAAATGACAGACTGCCCAAACTGTAAATACAAAAACCCACAATTGACATGAGTATTATGGCCTATATAATTTCCTGGAAGCAGAGCCTGCAGGTCCAACACCGACAACACCAAAGCGCGCCACTGACCACGATCCTGAGCCAACTCCAACCATTTTCCATCCTCACAGCCCACTTCTTTTTAGCATTTATCCTGATATTATCCTCCCATCTCCTTCTTGATATGCCCAGTGGTCGATTTCCAGGAGGAGTTCCCACCAAAATTCTGAATGCACCCCTTGATTCCCGATGCGTGCCACGTGTTAAGTCCATCGGAGCCTATTAGATTTCACTATCCTCACTATGCTATATGGCGTGTACAATTCACGCAGCTCCTCATTTTGCAATATTCGAAATTCCCCACTTATTTCATCCTTTCTAGGTCCGAATATCTTCCTGAGCGCATTGATTTCAAACATTTGTAATCTACGTTCTTCCTTCAAGGCAAGACAGCAGGCAAAATTATTGTTTTATATATCCTCAACGAGATGATAACAGTTATTATCTTAATTTCATCATGGGCCACATTTATATACGTCATTGTTGTTCCTCGATACTTAAATTTTGAAACATTTTCAATTGATGAGTTTCTTGTAATTATGTTTCACCTTTGTTGCTGATGTTTATCTCGTATTACGCCCATGTATTTAGTTTGTCTACGTTTACTTCTAGGCCTATTTCCTTGCTAGCCTGTAGGAGAGTTTCTACATTCTTGGTTACCGTACATTCAACATCCCCATCAAATTAACATCATCAGCACACGCAAGACCATTAAATTTGAGCTCTGCTTCATACCCTCTGACCTCTAGAGAAATATTAAAAAGCATTGGGGATAAAGCATCCCCCTGTTTAGGCCATTGTTACCTGGGAATGGATCCGACAGAAGCTTACCTATACGAGTATGAACTCTACTAGATACTTCATCCATACACATCTTAACTAACCGAACAAGTTTCTTCGGTATTTAGAACTCAATCAAAATGCTATACAGTACCCCTCTTCTGAGTCATATACTTTTTTAATTATTAATACTAATATTAAATAATTGGTATACTGATCCATTATAATCCCATTTTTCTCTAATATTTGTCGAATGAAAAATATCCGCATTGATCGTTCCCCTACAGTTTCATTCATAAACGACGTTAAACGTGCCAGAAGGACATTGGATAAAATTTCGTAAGACGTTAAAAAAGATAAATTCCCCGGAAGTTACTGCACTCAATTTTCTTATCACTTTTTTTGAATATGGGAAATATTTCATTCTTCCCATTATTGTGGTAGTGCTTCCTGGTTCCAAATCTAGGCTATAAGCTTATGTATCTCTGAATGCAGTGTCCTACCACCTGCATGGATTAATACGGTTTAAGTTCAAATAATGCGGCATACGACGCTTAGATATTAGGAACTTGGCCATTTCTTGATTTTATATCATAAATATTTAAATAACAGTTTGGACTTACTTATTCCGATATGAATACATTCTGCGTGGTATTTAAGTCTGTAATGTGCTTTATTCTATAACTTGTGCCATGTTAAGATTACGATGGAATTGCAGTTATAATTAAACATAATTAAATTTAATTTATTTTCAGCATAAGAGCTTTTTCAATTACTCGCCTACCATTTGTATGCTGTGCAATATCGGCTTTAGAGGATGAGTCGTGTCGAATGTTGAAGGTGGTCCTACTTTCTTAAAACATTCTAGTTGATATCTTAAGGGTGAATATTTACAGTATTTTGCATGACTATGGTAAAAACTTTGGATAACCTTCAACAATCGACGGGGCTCAACCCCGCAAACCGATTAGCAAATGAAAGTCCAGCCACCAAAACCTGACAGGTTTACATTGTTTTACTGTGCACCTTATGGCCGTGTAAAGTACAGTAATTTAAATTAAATTAAATTAAATGTAGCCTATTTGGAATTATAATTTCTTAAGATTCCTGTTTCAGCATATCACTCATTTTAGTTCCGTAAATGCCTCTTTACGCCAATTTTAATGACGTTTAGTTCGCAGTTTATTTGAAATGATCGCAGTCAGACAGCGGTAATAACTTGCAGTCACTGGTAACTTCAGTTGGGGCAGTGCCCGGTGACCAATGTAATGATAGCCGTTGTAACGAGGGCAGAGGCCGCAACTGAGCCGGCTTAAGCCAAGCCACCGCCTGTACTCGTATTACTTGTATTAACGCAAAAAGGGTTGAGGGGCGGCTTATTCTTGGGAGAAGTACCCTGAACTGCCGTGTTTAAAGATACCTAATTAAAACAAATGTCATGTGTCGCTGATGTCTGATTTGAAATAAAGTAATTTAGTAGAACCAATATGTTAATAACGAACCCCTTTAATAAATTGTCATGTCTTTTCAATTAATTGCCCTTATTTATAACGTTGTGGTCCCGAGAGTCCACATTCATGCATTGAACACTGTACCGTCTCAAACTTAACATTTGCTAGTAGTAA